AATTTTGACAACCACCCATAAATTGAAACACTGGGAGGCTCAACTTAGACTGCAAACGCACTATCTAGGCTGTAAGAAGGGATTGTCATGTTCGCGATGCCCATGGTGCACACACATACAGATACGCACATCTTTTTTTATTTATAATATATATGTATATGTATATATATATACATATTTCTCTTTCTACATACGCTCCCCCGATCCACATTTTGTGGTGGACTATGGGATGTTGGAATGCGAGGCTGTAATGCCCAGAAAAGTTCAGCAAATCCAAGCCCTGAACCTCACCAAAAACTATAATGCTCAACCAGTTCTGGCAATTCTAAAATTTTAGGGTCTAGGGAATTTGGCACCAAGCCATATGGAATTTTGAGATATTTCTAGCATGGCAATCTGATTACACTGCTTTGTGAAAACAAGTTGGGGGCCGCGAAACACTGTAATGCTCAAAAAATGAGAATTCCCGACTTTGAACGGTCCAAGAAGTCCAAGCTCTGGGCGGTATATGGCCAGGAAATCCAGAGTACATGTATGTTCTGATAGTTGAGTAATGCAGTGCTTGGTGAGAGTGAGGGCTACAAAGCCTCGAATGCTCAAAAAAAAACCATTTGTTTAGTGCCAACTCCTTCCATAGATCCTGGTTGGTGCCGTTTGAACATTACAGTGTTGCGGGTTCAGGGTTTTTGAAACTATTGCAGCACTGTGTGTGTGGTGAAGATAGATCCACGTAACGCGGTAATACCCATGGCAATCTAAAGCTGACGTGTCTTGTATTGAAGTAGTTGATTGTTTGACTCATTTAACCAATCTATTGAACCAAGTACTAAGTGAACTACGTGAATGTATTACATGAATGGACTCACTTGGCACCATTCAAACAACTGAATCTTCATTCAATTCGTCTTAATTCAATTAACCCATCTCCAGTCATCAAGAGATGCATGGAGCCCGCATCTGAAACAGTGGCAAGAATGATTCAGCATCAGCGATATGATCTGCAAGTATGCTGCAAGGATTAAAATAGCTTGGGGTCAATATTGGGGGCCCCCTATTTTGGGCAAAGACCTCATCAAGAGAAATGCATGGAGCCCGTACCTAGAACAGTGGCACGAATGATTCGGCATCAGCGAGATGATCTGCGAGATTGCTGTAAGTTTACCTATCCCAAGTTTACAGGTGGCTTTGAGTGGCGCAGAACCCTCACAGTCACGTACCTAGACTGGTGTGCGCAATCCCTTCCCGCGAAACGTCGCAACAGCTCTCTCAAAGCTTCCAAGACAAATACGGTGGGAGTTGGCAAGCTTCGCTTGAAGAGATATCACGCTGTGAAAAGAATCTTTTGACCCCTTTCAAATACTTGCTTGGAGTTTCTAGGACGCATGAGCGAAAGAGGCATTTGAACTTGTCAATCCAGCATGTAGGACAATGTAGGATCAAGGGCGTACATCACCAGCAATCACTGAAAGGTTGCCCGCAAAGAAGCAAGAATGCAACTAATCTGGTTCATGGACTCCCTTGAACTAGACTTCCAGCAGATGCCAAAGCCCATCCACTTTTTCAGCCTGGCTTATCTCGATGGTATCAGCCTCAAGGACGGCAGAAAGAACAAGGACCCTTTAGACTTTCCACACTAAACTCCACAAAAATGTCCACCCTAGTACACAGGTCCTACATCCCACGGCCCATTATGTCTCAAACCTTCTCGCCTCACATGAAACTGACACGGATCGACCTCCGCTGTCCGGGTTCCTTTGATGTTTAGTTCAGTGTGCTGCACTAAGGTGGGCCTCAACAAAACATGCGCAAGTTGTAAAAGAAGCCCAGGAGATGTATCCAAACGGCTTGTATTTCCTCACGCTCAGACGGTCGCATGAAAACCGCTCAGAACCCCTGTAGAAACGTGCTGGAAAATAGGTCTTCAAACGCAATAGAATGCAACCCGCAAAAATCTGAATTTCAGCCCACCACCGGGAACAGAAAGATTCGCCCGGCAGCTTGCACCGACCGTTGAAGCCATCCTTCGCGGCCAGCGACCGGCCTACATGCTGCTCCACGCTGGCCCTGAGCTTTGGCTCGTGAGGTGGGAGGTTGGCTACGCCCTGGGTTGCGTATGCAAGGAAAGCCACCTCAATGATCGCTGTGTCCGGTACAGTTAAACTGTAACGAGAGATTCGTCATGTCCTGTTTGGTATTCAATTGCCTGGTTGCCGTCTTCTTGGAGTTCTTAACCTGATTTGGGCGCATCGCTCCCTCCAAAAACCTCGCCTGGGTCATTGGATCGGGTGAGTTAAGATTGTGTAAAATGTGACTAAAATTACAGGACACTTTTTCCTGGTGAAGCTAGTGAGCCTTTCAGGCCTGATGGCTTAGGAATGGTGTGATCATAGAACCCTTTTGGTTCGATCGAGAGTTGCAACGAGGAAGGAAAGGGTTCCAAAGCCAGGCCGATCCACGCTGGCAGCTTACCCATCGACTCCAATGCTTCCCTTGGATTTGTTGAGCTCAAGACCATGACTGGTGTTGAACATGGGGCGTGGCATGGATGACCAACAACTGTGTGGTAGCCTGCCCTGCTAGCTGGTATGCTGATAGCACCTTGCGCATTGGTGATTGTGCCACGAAGTTGTTCACATGACGCCTTTTTCTGGTTTGCCCGGGGTTGCCCCTTTTCGATCCACTTGCCCTAAGCCGGACCCCACTCCTGCAACCTGTCGACCCACCAGCCCTGGAATCCGAAACCCTGTGAACCCAATAGCCAGAAAGACTTTGGCCAGCAAGGCGCTTGTCATGGTAGACCCGGCCGTCTGGAGCTACAAAGACCTTGTAGAGACTTGAGGCGTGAAACCGCTATCTCCACTTGGGCTTCATTCATGGAGAGTCTGAAAAAAAGATCAAGCGCTCTTATGCCCTGAGCCTTAGCAGTTGGTTGTAGGCGTGCTGACATGAATCAACAGGGCAAAATATGCCTCCAGTTGCCTGCATGATGGTCTTGCACTTTTCTATCGATGCCAAGATGTAGACCTCTCCCGCACTTCCTCTTCCAAACCTCTATCTCTCTCTCTCTCTCTGTCTCTCTCTCTCTCTCTCTCTGTGCTTCTTCTTCTTCTTCTGCCGATTCTTCTTGTTCTTATTCTTCTACTGCTATACCCAATCCAAAGATTGGTGCCGGCGTCAGTCGCAGGCACCACTGTCCAGAAAATCGCCCGGCCCAGGCTCCTCTGTGCTGTATGCCCCATGCTCCCCTTGCTTCCCCTTGCTCTTCTTGTGTACCAGGGAAGAAAGAATGTACACATATCTTTCTTTCTTTCTTTCTTTCGTCTCTCCCTCTCTCTTCGCACTCTCCCTCCCCGCCCCTGTGGTGTGTTCAAACATGCTGGGGACCGACGTCTGGTGGCACAAGGGCCTCAACCTGCGGGTTGGTTTGCGGGCTGGCGAATCTCAAGAAAGTGGCGCTCGCATTACAAGGCTCCAAAAACAGGTTCCCACGCACGCATCTTGGTGATAAGCTACGTCTTTAGCAGAAAAAGCTCGCATGGCCAACGTCAAGTACTGGTACACATATTAGGGCAAATGTTACATTATGCGGCTTTCCAAAGCCAATTGGCTTCCCAGGCCCTGGCCTTCAAAACCTTTTGGCCTTCCAGCCAGTCACATAGCTGAAGCTGGAAGACGCCAAACCTCATGTCGATATCTATTTGCAGCTGCGGAGCTCGATACATACCTCCTGGTCCTGTGAGGCCCTGCCCCCAGTCGTCCGGCAGCCAGCCGATTCGGTTGGTGTCCACCAGGATCTGTTGCCACGCAGAGATTTTTGGGCTTTGGCAATGCCATACATGTGCGGGGCACAGAGCAAGGCCCATCCTTCCCATGCACTGGCATCAAAATCTCTGAGGGGTCTTGCAGGGACGGCTTTTATCTGTATCGCCAAAATAGGAGCCATCATATGACAAAAGCAGTGTGCCGCTGCCACCATTGCTCCTGGGGCTGCTGCTAAGGCGGCTGCGGCTGCTGTGCTTCAGCAGCTGCTTTCTTGGTCTTTTTTCTCTTGCGCCTTTTCTTCGTGGTGCTGGTGGCGCTGGCGGCGTTGGTGGTGCTGGCTGGCGTTGCTGACGGTGCTGGCGGTGGGTGCTAGTGCTCGGGCTGGCTGGTGGCTGGTGGCTGCTGGTAGCTGCTGGTAGCTAATGGTGGCGGGGAAGGCGGCGGCGGCGGCGGCGGCG